TTATGAAAAGAAACAAAAGAACATTGCTTTAAATGTTAAATTTACAAATCCATTAAATTTAGTATATGTGTGTTATATAGCATATTGTTTCCAGAACCTAATATAGGGTATAGCACATAGTATGCAAATAGAAAAATGTGAACACAATTCAGTATGTTTGCAGGATGTGATGCATTATGCATTAATGTGTTCAAATTGTCAGGCACCATATCTCTGCAGGAAACTAAAATGAGCTTGGAAAGACTGATGAACTGAACCTAGATCAAACCACTATATGACAACATGGCATACAATTTAAGCTGTTCAAAGTACCATAACACTAAGTGTGTCATATGTCGCTCCACTGTAGTCATGTCATTATTGATACTGTACCAAAGGGCGACAAATGGTCGAGAAAATACCTCTTAATTTTTGTTCTACCATTCATATTTTGGTATTGATATTGATCTTGATATTCATTGTTTTGATATTGATCACTGAAAAATCTATTTTCATGTTAATTTAGATAGGTAAATTTCTTATTTACATCACAAAGATTTTTATCAATGCAAATTTGAAATACAATGTGTGACTCTAAAAATTACTTTTGGTCATTCTGGCTTGGCACATACTCAGACAAATGTTACATATAAAATATATAATGTGTTATGCTATATGTCTGGATGTCCCCTCAAAGCCTCACAGGCTCCTAGGTGGGGCTTTGGGGAAGTGATTGGATCATGCGGGGTGTGTTACTCATCAGTGGGTTAGTCCACTGATGAGTTTACAACTCAATGTGATGTTGGGAAGGAAAGCCTGGTTGGAGATGGGTCACTGGGGGAATGGCCTGGATGGGACCATCTCTTCTCTCTTTCCTTTATTGTTCTGAATCCCACTGCTGCCATGCCCATTTGTCATGCTTCCTTATGTTGGACCCAGCTGTCTATGAACTGAAATCTCCACAAACTGTGAGCCAAAATTAACCTTTCCTCCTGTAAGTTTTCGGCCTTGGGTATTATGTCTCATAGATGAGGAAAGTAATGAAAACATAATGTCAGGATAGAATATCTAAAGTTCTATATATCTCTCACTTTCTAGGTGACTGAAAAGTGGACCAATGAAAAGCTGTGAAGCATAATTATTCCTTCTTCTCTGACTCCATGCTTCCAAGGATACCGCATAGATTAATGCAAAAATAGTTTTGATTTCATTATATAAAATCAAAGATTCTGGCATATAAATAGTATTTCATATCTCCTTTGTAAGGGAGTACAACTATAGAACACAAACTGTTATTTATAGTAAGAATGTTTAAAAATCAGCTTTAGGTCGATTTGATGCTGCACAACCAAGAATGATAGCAAGTATATAGTGATACATAGATTTTTTTCACTTTTGAAGAAAATAGAGCTTTTTCATTCTACCCTGCTTGAATAATCTTGTACTTATTTTTATTTCTTTTTAATGTCTTTAAAAATTTATGCCATTTTTATCTGCATCCTACCAATGTCAACCATATTGTACCTTCTCTTCCTATAGAGTATGATTCTCCTTATAAGCAAGTGTTCAAATATTATTAAAGGAATTAAGGATTGATTTTGAAAAACTGACACTCAGTCATATAATTATATATTTTCTGGATGACAATTAGGTATTAAACTTAAAATTTAAGATATCAAGTGTAAAAAAGCATTACTTATAATGTACACTACTATTTACATGGCTCTTTGCTCTCTATAAATGGGTAAAATCATAAACTAATTTTCTAGAGAAAAGCTCTAAAAAACCCAGGAAATTTTTTAAAATTTTCAAAATTACGTTCACAACTAATTATTAGAAATGTGATATGAACTTGCAATTATACCCCAAATTATTTCTAGAATGAGTGCAAATTTTCACTGCTTTCCATTTCTCTGCTAATGTGATAAGAGGACTGCATGATTTTTTTTATTAAGCCAAAAAGCAATTTTTATATTTTAGTAAATAGTCATCATTTTTATAACTGACTTACTATCCTGCATATATCTAAGAATGTTTTCTTTAATTTTTTGATCATAGATGTTAGTACTTTTCTGTATTTTATTTTAAATATTGCTAAATATTAACCTTATCATAATTATATATTTTCTGTGAATAAATTGTTTTCTGTGTGAGCTTGTATTGTCATGCTACTCACTCTTTGATACCTAGTAACTAGGATAAAAAAACTAAATATTTTCTTTAGTTCTTATAGAAACTTCCCAAGTCCTTGTTCTCATTCTTCCTCATCTAATTTACTGAACTAGGAAAAAACAAAGAATAAATATGGAGGATGTGTCTCATGCCTTACTACACACATATTTTGCTACATAAGCTCTTTGGAAAGATGACTGTCCAAATCAAAAATTATTTAACTATATTAATTAAAACCTATATTAGTCAAAATTTATTTCAAGCTACTTTATTCATTTATTCTTTAATTTCCACATTAATGTAATAAATCAGCCACATATGATTCTTTCACATCTTACACTTTCCAGATTTCATGGAAATGTTTAAATCATTTAAATGTTCTGATGCACCTCTACTGAACATATTGCTTCTATTACTAATAATTATCAAGTCTTGACATACTCCATCATCCTTAGTATCTCTAACGCCTCAAAAATGTTCAATATTGAGTATATTTTCAAATGGCTGAAACTTTACTCATATAATGTTCCTGCTCATTTTTTTCTTCCTCCTAAGATAAATTTATATTTAGCTTTTTTCAAATGAAAGTCTTATAGGTCAGTTAGCTAGCTAGCTAACTAGACACTTACACAGATACCTTATATTCTTCCTATTCTGTACAGTTGTTCGCTTGATATTTTCTATTGTTACAGCTAGTTACATTAGATGTAGGTACATATCTTATCTCTTTCCTAAAATTTCTCCACTAATACCAAATAGATTATTGGCTCAATTGGCACATTTCTGTAAACACACAATTAGAAGTTTATTAATCACCAGGTACAACAGTGTTTAGGAGGAAAGGCTACAGTGCCAATGGTGGCTGAGAGGCAGTTTGTATCCTGTCTACCTTCTGTAAAAGAGCCGAATCTGGGTCATTGCATTCAGCAGGGAGATTTAAAACACCTTCCAACGTCGTGCAGCGAGCTGCTGAGTGTCTTTTAACCTAGTTTTGCACACGGGAAACTCAAAGATGTCACGCGATGGAGACTCAAAGTGTAAACTTTGTGGCTTTCTGTTCCTGAAAGGATCTCTCAAACCTTAGCTTCACGAATCTTCCCATTTCAAGGGATAATAACGTGATTGTTTTATTCCGTGGTAGTTCAGAGGTAAGTGAGTCTTTCTGTTACTGTTTCACAATAATAAATTTGCTTTCAATGTAAACAAATTGAAATTGAATTGAGAAAGCCTTCGTTATAACTTCAGTTTGCCTGAATTTAGATAAGCTCCTCCAAGACTTTCAATCTTCACCTGACTTAGAGCATTTACTTTAAGAAACTCGAAATTGTATTTTTTCCCCCTCTACTACTTTCTCATATATTTTTTAAAGCTTCCTGCCAGTACTATAATCCAACAATTCTTTTCTCAAGAACCTGAATGCATTTTTTTTAAAAAAGTAATGCTTAAGGGTGATAACTTCGCTATCTTGGAGAATCTGTGGAAGGGAAGGTGAATAATTTAGGTGGACACACTGCTACAAATTATGAAAGTATTTTCCCACAAAATTATTAAAAAATTCACACTTCCTTTGGTAAACCCAATCAGCAAACACAAATGGTCACTACTGTCTCCCTCACTCCAGGAGTAAAAGCCTTCCCAACCTTTGTTTCAGACTGAGTTCTGATAGCTCTCCACTCCTTTTTTTGTTTGTTTGTTACCAGGGATTAAACTTGGGCCCTTGTGCTTGAGCAGCAGGTGGCAAAAGCACTGAGCTAAATCCCTGGTCCCTAGCTCTCCACTCTTTACAGTGGCTTTGAATAAAGTCTTGCTTAAATGTTTACTTTAGTGGAATTTTTCATTTGTCAAAATATTATTTAGAAATTTTTGAGACCAAAAATGTCTGTCTTTCCATCCCATTGCTACTTTGCAGCTTGCTCTTGGAGCGCGTGTGTTTTTATTTTCTGAGAGGCTTCATCTACTGAGTGTCATATTACTATGAACAAATTCCTGTGTTTGATAAGATAAACCCTTTAAAAAGACAGATTCCAACTAGTTTCAGAGTCTTTGGCTACATTGGCCTAATTTCCCTATGCTACAACTTATTTCTTTTACCAGTAAAATACAGCTTCTTAAACTGGGACACTAGCTGCATTGGCAATGATGCCTTATCCTGCCTTTCTCCCTTTATCTCATAGGATGATCAAATTTAGGCAAAATGAACCATATGTCATTTCTAAAAAGTATTACATCAAACAAGCCATCAATTCATGCTACCTGCCTTTGCTACTCTATCAAGATTTTATTGTCTCCTTTTCTCATAATCTTGATTTTATTAAGACATTTAAAAAAATTAACACTAACCTTAATAATGCTATGGAAAGAATATTTTATGCCTTCTAACTTGCTCTGAACACTGGGACTATATCATAGATATTTTTCTGAGCTTTCTATTGCCTTTGACTGTAAGCATCTGGAGAGCAAAACATGACTTATTTATTCTTCTAGAGTAGAGCCAATACTTGTATATTGAGCAAGATTCAAAAAAGCACTCACCAAAATTATTTTAATCCCCTAAATATGATGAAAAGATCAACAAAATATACCGTACTTTAGATGAAAAAGTTTCAAATCTATTTTACAACTCTAAGTATTGTTTTATTATTCCTTTCAAATAAATTTGTCAAGTCTAGATTAAATATTCTGTTAAAAGTTTATATTACAATAACACATTTCAAGAAAAAAAGTTGATTTACAGTAGTTTTCATATGAAAAAAGGAACTAGTAAATATTTTCTTTTAAGCAATATATCGTAAAACAAATATGCAAAATTTTATAGGACATCAATGGGAAAATTAATTCCTTTGCAGTACCTGTATATGCAAATTGAACAAGGTCCCAGAGGGCATTGGGGTCTATGCCTTCCATCTTGATCTCCTCTTGCTTGGCTTCACAAACATCACTTGTAAACATGGCCGCAAAATAGTCAGAGACGGAACTCAGAACAAGCCTGAAATAGTCACAGAATCTGATTTAGGCCATGAATCTATAGCATAGAAACATTGTATCCACCAAAATGAAATGCAGAGGACAAAATCAATCATCATTCAAGTAATCGATGTATTTAAATATTTTTTTCCCCTCCTGATTGGTCTTTTAAGAACCAATTGAAGAAATCTGGCACCAAATTTCAAGAAATCTGGTCTATATTTATTGCCTATATTTTCTTCCATCATCTTTTGTCTGTTTTTTCTTTCAAATTTAGAATTTCATTCCTTTGAATAAGAATCAAAGTTTATTTCTTTATACACATTGAACAAGTTTTCACCACTGTGTTATTTGTTACTGAATTATGGTGCCATGTCAACCATCAATTCACCTCTTGAATGCGTATTAATTTCTCCCTAAAATTTTTACTAATTTTGGTTATTTGCCTGCTCTTTTGCCGTTGCAGTACATTTACAATGCTACAGATCTAACTATGTGCACATAATCCTCAAGGCAAATTCTTTCTCCTTGTATTAGTGGAGTTTGATTCTTCAAAAGTAAAAATTTAAAACTTCAAGTTTAAAGCAAGTTTATTAACTTCAATCGTGCCTATGAAATTTTTATTAAATGCACTGATTTTCTGGTTTTATTTGGAGAAATTTGGACTTCTTAATATAAACCAATACTTTCAAAAGTATAACACATCTACCCATGTTTTCAGGATATTTTATTTTTTTGATTGTCAAGCTTTAACTTCTAAAATTGCCATAGATACCTTTGGTTAATTGATATACATTTCAGTTTTCTTCACATTGTGTATAATTCTTTTGTCTTTTATTAGAATTAATTTGTTGAAAATTTCATGTATCCATTTTTTATGTGGACATTTGTTAAATTAGTTTACTTTTTTTTGATTCTACTATTTCTCTATTAGGCAAATAATCATATCATCTGCAAATAATCTCATTTGAATGATTCTTCATTATTCTCTATAATTCCTTTTATCTTCTCCTTTCTAACCTTATGTAAGCCTGCCAGTGTTTTACTTTAAGAGCAAATTTCTACTTTTCTCTGTAGTGAAAAGAAGACATGTGAAAGTATCTCTTTCCAGTGTGGTGCTTTGTGAATATATTTGTATACAAAACACACACTTTCTCAAGTCAGGAAGACCTCATTAATTTCTAGGGCTGCAAAAATCTTCTAAAATAGGTGTTAACATTCACAATTTAATGAAAATTTGCCAGGAAAATTAACAAATAAGTTTTAGGATTTTTCTTTGTATAATCATAAGAAAAAATTGATCTATACTTTTTCTTGTATTTTCCTCATTTGATTTTGAATGAAAGTTAGACAAGCCGCATAAAATGAGCTTTCAGCATTAATTCTTTTATTTTCAATTTTATGTAGAAAGTTATAGAAGAAAGCAATTTTTTTTCTTTAAGATATTTTAGAACTTTAAAAAGTTCTACTGCTGTCAGCAGGCAGGTCTGTGCACGCCCTACTGAGGTCCTGAATCACGCGAAAGACACCGAATCACCCCACTGCAGACAGGCAGCCACCTGATTCCACAATACAAAGACCCAGAGGACACCAGACCACCAGATCAAGGTGCTGAGTCCCACTGATTCCGGACCAGAGGTAGGGGTTTCTGAGCCACCATCCCACTGCTCCTGGTCCAGAGGAAGGGGTTTCCCGGCCACCATCCCTCCAGCTGCTCCCAGCCCACAGGAAAGGGCTTCTGGGTCACCATCCCTACTGCTGCTTGTGGCCACTATCCCACCTCACCCAGGTCAGAGGAGGTAATCGGTGCAGGCTCTAACAGCCTCCCACACCACTTGAAATGAGAAAACACGTAAATAAATCTCAAAACCAGACTTCCAGATCACCTATAGCAACCCCAAAGGGAAATGAGATGGAAC